ACAATAGCATCAAAAGGAATACAATTCTTTGGAATAGACTGAACCAAGGAGGTATAAGATGTGCACACTAGAAACTATAAAACACTGTTGAATGGAATTTTAAAAGACCCAAATAAGTAGAAAGACATCCTGTGTTCATGGATCAGAAGACTTAATATTGTTAGGATGGCAATACTCCCCAAAGCCATCTACAGACTGAACACAATCCCTATCAAAATGCCAGCTGGGTTTTTTTGGGGTTTTTTTGTTTTTGTGGAAATGGACAGGCTGATCCTAAAATCCATATGGGCACACAAGGGATCCAGAATAGCCAAAATGATTTTGAAAATGAAGAACAAATTTGGAAGACCCATGCTTTCTGATTTGAAAACTTATTACACAGCTACATTGGGGAAAAGAATAGTCTTTTCAAAAATAGTGTGTAAGAGAATGAATTTGGGAGATGCCTGGGTGGCTCAGTTAGTTAAGCATCTGACTTTGGCTCAGGTCATGATTTCAGGGTCCTGGGATTGAGCCCCACGTCGGGCTCTGCACTCAGTGGGGCTTGTCCCTCTGCCCCTCCTCCCGCTTGTGCTCTCTCTCTCAAATAAATAAATACAATCTTTAAAAAAGAGAGAATGAATTTGGACTCCTACCTCACACCATACACAAAAATTAACTCAAAATGATTCAAAGACCTAAATGTAAGAGCTAAAACTGTAACACTCTTACAAGAAAACATAAGTATAAATCTTCACGACCTTGCATTAGACAATGGTTTTTTAGACATGCTACCCAAAACACAAGCAACAACAACAGAAATAGATCAATTTGACTTCATCAAATTTAAAAAACTTCTGTGTTTCAAAAGATACTATCAAAGTTGGGGAGGTGCTTTAGAGAGTGCTTTGTTTCTTAGATGTCTCGGCAGACCTCCCTGACCAGTTGCTAGCTGTGTGGTCTTCCAGAGACCCTAGGACACTACAGCCATCTGAGAACACAAAGATGGAGGTCCCTTGGAGAGGCCCACTGGCCACCCAGAGGTTCAGAAGGCCGTTGCTCTTTAATGGGGCCGCCGTGCTCCACAGCCAGTACTCAAGATGTCACTGTGCTGCCCCATCTCTGGTTTCATTTTTCTACATTTCCCAACTGACCCTTTCAAGCCAGCACTCTGTCTTTAGATAAATAACAGTGTGTTCTGGGGGCGCCTGGGTGGCTCAGTCAGTTAAGCCTCTGACTCTTGATTTTGGCTCAGGTCATGAGCTCAGGGTCTTGAGATCAACCTGCATATAGGGCTCCATGCTCAGCGGGGAGTCTGCTTGCAATTCTCTCTCTCCCTCTCCCTCTGCCCTCCCCCCACTTGTGCTGTCTCTCATGCACGCTCTCTCACTCTCTCTCTCAAATAAGTAAATAAAATCTTAAAAAAGTCAAACTCGAAAAAAAACAGTAAAATGGTGGTTACCACGGGATGGGGAGATGGGGAGATAAAAATTGATATTGTTTAAGGGCACAAAATTGCAATGAGTACTAAATAAGCCACAGTGATCTAATGTCCGGCATAATATTGAATATAGACAACATCGTACTAGTATTATGTGACGTGATAGATACCACTGCAACAGCAATCATATTACAATATATAGATAGATGTAGCAAAGTAACATGCTGTACACCTTAAACTTACATGCCATATGTCAAATAATTCAATTAAAAAATTAATTTTAAAAACTTGGTAAATATTTGTGTTTCGGTCTGTCTCCTAGCTAGCTACCTGGGAGCTTGAGACTGGATGGTCAATATTCCTGGCTGCGGGGTTCCCCCAGCTCAGCTTTCAGTCTCACGCCTTAGGTGCATTATCTCATTTGATCCTTAAAACAATCCTATGCAATAGATATTATTAATGTCTCCTTTACGCAGATGAGGAAACTGAAACAGAGAGAGGCCAAGTAACTTTTCCCGGAGTCCACAGTCAGTAACTGACCAAGCCAAGACTCTAACCCAAGTCTGTCAAACTAGAGAAAGTTATGTGCTTAGCTGTAGTGCCAGATACCGCCTTATTCCAATATCCCTATGATGTTCAGGCCAGCCTCAATGATCAAAGAGAGACAAAAATATGCCCAGTGCCTTGATTCAAGAAATGAAAATTAGCATATACTTTTCAGAAAGATTTGTACCCAAAGTGGGTGAAAATATTTTAAGCATTGGTACTTAAAGGAGTAAGCATTAGTTATCAGAAAAATCCACTTCTGTGAAACGACTCATTATCCCACAGTGCTAGACCCAGGAGGTGTTTCTGTATCATCTAGTATTCTTAGAACTGCAAAGAAGCTCAGGATACCTTCTGGCAGCTTCATAGCGCAGAAATCATTGGCAACCTCACCACGTTTTTATTTGTCAAATAAAAAAGAAAATACCATGATCTGTTCCATAGTAGACATTATTCTAGAAGCTATATAGAGAGGTCTCAGGCTACACCTACCTCAAAAGCCACACACACACACACACACACACACACACACACACGCACACACACGTGCAGAGACACACAGCTAACAGTGGGTAATAGGGACACCTGGAAGAAAATATTCTGAGACAACTATAGCCTGATGCTGTAGCTAACTTTAGGAAAAATTCTGAAGCAAGTCAAGTTTATCTGGGGCAAAGCGACTTGTATTACTACTACTAATAATAGCTAACACTTGGAGAAATACTTACTAGGCGCCAGGCACTCTTCTGGGGACATGAATTCATTGACATCTTATACTGATCCTATGAAATAGGTGCTGCTATTATTCCCACTTTATAGGTGGGGAGACTGAGTCACAGTCAAGGAACATGCCCAAGGTCACAAAGCTACTCCTGAGAGAAAACTGAGCATTTGAACCCAAGCAATCTAGCATCAGAGTCCATGATCAACCCACTACTAATACTTCCCCACAAAAAATACTGCTAAAAACGAGTCTATACTCATGTCCCTGGTTCTCCGCTGAGCACTGTACATACATTATCTCATAGATCTTTTTCAGGTCCAAGCTCTTAGCTCTAAATTATGATGTAGTATCTCATTTGATCCTTTAAAACAACCCCATGAGGTAGCAATTATTGTGTCCATTCCTGAAGAAAACAAAAACACGAATTTAAAAAGATATGCACCCATATGTTCATTAAAGCATTATTTGCAATAGCTAAGATATGGAAGCCACCCAAGTGTCCATCGATACATGGACGGATGTGGTATATATGCACTCAAGCATAAAAAAAAAAAAGAATGAAATTTTGCCATTTGTGACAACATGGATAGACCCAGAGGGTATTATGTGAAGTGAAATAAATCAGACAAAGAAAAACCATTACCATATGATTTCACTCATATGTGGAATCTGAAAAACAAAACCAAACATAGCAGAAACCGACTCATAAATACAGAGAACAAGCTGGTGGTGGCCAGAGGGGAAGGAACAGCTGAAGGGGACGGAGAGGCACAGACTTCCAGTTATAAAGTAAGTAAGGCACGGGGATGACAAGTACAGCGCAGGGAACATAGTCAGTAATTTGTAGGGGCGGCTGGGTGGCTCAGTCAGGTTAGGCAGCCAACTCTTGATTTCGGCTCAGGTCATGATCTCAGGGTCCTGGCATCAAGCCCCATGTCAAGCCCATCATCGAGCCCCCCACTGGGCTCTGCGCTCAGCAGGGAGTTTACTTCAGGATTCTCTCTCTCCCTCTGTCCCTCCCGCCCCCAAATAAATCTTTAAAAAAATAATATTATAGTAACATTGTATGGTGACAAATGGTAGGTACACTTATTGTGGTGAGCATTGTGTAATGTATAGAATTGTCCAATCACTACGTTGTACATCTGAAACTAACATAATATTATATGTCAACTATACTTCAATTTTATTTTATTTTATTTTTTTTTAAAGATTTATTTATTTATTTT